ACCGATGTCTTTCTCTTCAAATTTTTTTTAAGGGAAGTCATATCTTGACCGCTAACTTTCAATTACATCAACATTTGTAAATGTTTGTGTCTTATATAAATCTTAAATCATAGTTAATTCTTTCGTGTTGGCGTTAAAAATATTGAAATAAGAGAGAATAAACTGGAATAACAATCGTTGTTTGGAGAGGTTTGAAGCCTGTTTTAATTTCAGTAGGTTTTGGAACATGTTTGAAAATTCTCGAAATTCACGAGGACTTTTTTTGTGGTCGAGGGAAGGGTGGTGGGGGGTGGGGGGGAAGAAATTCTAGGGTGACGTAGGCTATCGTACAAGTTCAAATGTGACACACCCACTGGTCACTTCTGGGATCAGCAATAATGAAAGCTTACTGTTCTCCATAAATAAACTTCTCTGCAGCGCGGTGATCGCTGGAGCATCGATGCGCGGGAATCTAAATGTGTAAGTCTCGATTCCTCGTGTGGACGGAGAAATGTTTCGGGAATTGTGAACAGAAATTTCTTCCCATCACCAATAAAATAACGTCCAAAATTTGATTAAATATACTTGGACTTGTAAGAGTGTGATTGAAAGGAAACCTATACACGCTATAATGCCTTTTGCAGTTTATGTTGACAAAGAGATTTTTTTCTTCTTCATTCACAGGCTGGCTTTTAACCGTGGAACAATTGGAATAGGTGACACTTTCAACCAAGCTAACCATTTCAGTTCAAATATTCTTGGCTGTTTTCTTTTTTCAATCGTAAAATAAAATACAATGTATTGACAAATAATCACTGCCTCAATGTTCTACAAATGCTCAATCTTTTTCTTCTTTCGTTTCTTCTTTACTTCTTTTTCTGTCGAACTAGATTCAGCCCCACCATCTTTGGTTGTGGTTTCACCATCTTTGGTTGTGGTTTCATCTTTTATGTGGCCATTTGCTTCTCGTTTTCTTCTCGAGTTTTTCAGGTTTTTTTCCTCTTCAGTAGACGACCTGGAAAACAACATAACATAAATTTTTTTAATTTTACATCTCAGTCGATCAGTACAGCGATAAGATGTTGAGAGAATCTAACAAGAGGATTAAGAATAATGCCATAAAGTTCGATCGCATACGTATATAATGGCAATGTCCATTTTATAGCCTTAAATTTTTAACCTTCAGTCTCTGCCAACAAACATCATACCACCATTACACTGGTAACTAACCGTGACAAGTTTGAGAGGATTGCGTGACAAACACCCTTAACGTCTGGGGACTTTTTAGCTAACGCACTATCCTGGATGCGTGTCACTCCTTCCCTGAGCTGATCTGCCCGTAATAACACTGCAACCTAAAAGAAATGTGATACAATTTACTTCTAATCCCGACATTGGAACTACACAACGACCTACGCTAGAAACTGCAGACGTCTCATCTGAAATCCGTTTCAATATTTTTGCTTGTTTTGTTTTTTTTTT